TCTTTCTTTCTTTCTTTCTTTCTTTCTTTCTTTCTTTCTTTCTTTCTTTCTTTCTTTCTTTCTTTCTTCTCAGCAGTACTGCCCAGTCCTTTCATTTTTTATTTCAAGTCAGGATCCCAGCAAGTCACTGAATGCTCCAGGCTAGGCTTGAACTTGCAATCCTCCTGCCCTGGCTTCCCAGAGTGCTGGGATTACAGGTGTCCACCATCACACCCAGCTTTACACAAGGATTTTTCAAGATGTGGCTAAAGCAATATACATTTGGTAAACTACTCCAAGTTTTGAATTCTAATCATTTACTAGGCTAGTCACAGACTGTACAGTTCTCTCAGTTGATCTGTGGAGTCCCAGCTGCCCCTCCCTCCAGCCATGACAATGATACCTACAGTGCTCGGTATTGTTATGATGTTCTGTAGGTTAGGGGTATTAAGTACATTTTTCACTTACAGTATTTTCACCAATGGATTTATTAAAACATAACCCTGTCACAAAAGAAGAATCTATATTTGGGTAAGAATCAGCTCAGTGACAGTCCTGTGACCTAGGTACAAACTCTCCTCCCTCTGGGACATTATCAGCATAGAGGTATGGCCTCTCTGCCCTGCAGCACTGTTTATAGTGAGGATAGATGATTATGCAAGAAACTGAAGCACAGGGGTTGGGGATTTAGCTCAGTGGCACAGTGCCTGCCTGGCAAGTGCAAGGTCATGAGTTCGATTCCCGGTACTGGAAGAAAAACAAAACAAAACAAACAAACAAAAAAAAGAAACTGAAGTGCAGGATCCATAATTTACTAGGAACTTTCATTTCCCTCAGGAAATGTATTGCACCCAGAAAAACTCCTATTCCATGCAAAAGCACAAATCAAGCCAGGTATGGTGGCACACATCTGTAATCCCAGTACTTTGGAAGCTGAGGCAGAAAGATCACGGCAAGTCCAAGGCCAGCCTGGGCTACACAGTGAGTCCAAGGCCAACCTGAACTGCATAGTGAGTACATCTCAAAAACAAAAATACAAAGACCCCAGGCCCTTTTGTATGCCCACCAACTCCTTGTTCTCCACCTTCACCTCTGCCTATGCTCAGTGGCTGCTACCCAATGTGTAGGACTCTGTGTTCCTAGGAGCAGTAGACACTAATCTAATAACAGAGAATGAAGCGAAGGGGCTACTTCACACTAAAATTTAAACAGCCAGTGCCAGCTCATTGGAGTTGCTCCTCTCTGTGGTATCTATGTTCTAAGAACCCCCTGGTAATTTCTTGTACCAGTTAGGGATGTATCACAGAATCAGAGGAATGTAGAAAGAGAGATAAGGCTCAGGGGTGTCTCATAAAAGGAAGACCTTACATATTTTGGGGAGCTGGTAATGGAGTTTAGAGGAAGCTGTTGCCCTTGTGCTACATGTTGGGCCTGATGTCATTTCAGTTCAATGTGGCAGCAGTAAGGAAGAGACATATTTCGCACAGTAATCAAGAACAAAGACAGACTGAAACCTGCTAAGACAAACTGGGGTCCTTTTCTGCCTCTCACCACCTTGTACCTCAGTAGCAGGTGACCTGGTGTTCTTCAGACTATGGGAAGCTGGGAGAGCTCTCCGCCTGGCTACTGCTTAGGTCTTGTGGTGAGCTGGCAGACTGGTAACAGGATGCATGGGCTCTGTGATGTCCTACGCCCTACACCCTCAGGGTGGACTTAGATTGCTGTTTTATTTCTACCTTCAGAGTCTCATGCAAATTCCATTTGTAGGCAAGCCCAACTTGTAGCCATACAGGGAGAGGAATTCTGGGAAATATGGTTCATGTTTAGTTTTGCTGACACGCACACTGAAACCACCACAGCCCCTAAAATCAATTTTAAGAGGTGGCTTTGCAGACTCATGTACAGGACAGTAGAGATGTTCAAGTGATGTTCTTGGCGTAGTGTTTGAGGTATTTCGGAGGGCTAGGGAGAAGAGCGGAAGGGAGTTTTCTTGGTGGGCTTTAAGAAATATGTTTATCTCAGAAGAACAGAAAAGCCAGACAGGTGCTACGCATGGATTGTTCGGTGATACATCCTATTCATAAATATGTGTCCAGAAATAAGACATTTGACATTACAGTTGCACCAGTTATGCCTGAGAAGTAGTAAAGGACATGCAGGAGTTTATGAATGCCCAGGATTTCTCCATATTGCACAGCAATACCTTCTCTACTCCATGGCCCTCACTCCTTCTCCTGAGACAGAGACAAGACTGGCAGAGTAAGAGGAAGGAAGCCGTGGGAGGCAGGGACCACTGTGACAAGGAGCTCCTCTGGGGCTATACAGAGGAACCCCTGAAAGCCATTCTCCAACTTCTGTCTTTGGCAGAAGCCAGTTAGGTCCTCAGGCGCAGTGGAATGGAACAATGAACCCATATTCTGCCATGCATGTGGCTCTGTCTCAAGAAATGTTTCCTGTCTGTGGGGGAGCAGTGGGCGGGCTGAGATAATAAAAGCAGGTGGAAGGTATAACTTGAGAGGCCTGAGGTTCGCACTTTCCCGCTTCGTTAGACAGATCTGCAGCTTAATGGGAAACTTTGTCGGTCATGTACACCCAGGCCTGTTTCTGTTCTTCTATGGGGTCTATCAGGCAATCATGATCTCCAGAGCTGTGATAGTCAATGACTCGCTCCTGCATCCTTCATGTCCTCCCAAGAATAAGGGGAGATGGGCCAGGCTGTGGAAAATATCCTTTGGAGGTTGGGCAAAGATAGCGGCTGGCATTCTCTTCATGGTTAATGACCTCAGCTTCAGTGAAATACAGATCAGACTGATGAGCAAGGAGATGCCACCAAGGTTCATGTACCCCAAAGAGTGGCAGCACCTCACCATGTTCGTCCTCCTCATCCTCAATGGTTGTGCAGAGGTTGTGAGCAAGAACGTGCTACCACAGAGATTTGTGGTTCTAGAAAAAGGTACCCTGGTTCTGAGCGTCTACGAGCTTCTGCTGCTCATGGTGTCCCACGTTAAGGGCTCATCAGGAGTGGAGCTGCAAATCCACTCTCTGCTCATCTTGGTGGTGTTCCTGTTGATGCTGGTGCTGACCGCAGAGCTCTGGGCCCCTGAGATGATTCACCTCCAGCTGATTGAGACTTTGCTGCTCTTGATGATGGGCTCCTGGCTGGTGCAGGGGGGCTTTATTCTATACAAACCAATCTCTGGCTACCCGTGGGATGATAATGACATCAGTGACATCATGTTTGTCACCACCTTCTTCTGCTGGCATGTGATGACCAATGCTCTGTTCCTGCTGGGAATCTATGGCCTCTCTTCCTTTTGGTATCACTGCTACAGCCCCAGCTTGAAGCTGATGGGGTCCAAAGAAGCTCCATGTCACGAGAGCACGCCAGGGCCTCTCTACAGGCTGCTGCAGGAAGCGGAGCAGCCAGAGGAGGATGACCAGGCTCCCCTCCTTTCAAAGAGCTCACGCTGATCCCAGGCTGAGAATGCATGACACATACCACACACCATCGTGCCCTGGGGTTCTCTCAGCCGTGTGCACATCACTCTGTTTGGTCCCATTGAAGGCGATGGTCCAGGAGGACAGCAGCTCGTTCTCATCTACTGGTGCATTTTCTCTCTGAGCCTCTGATTATTGCCAAGGAAACAGGAGAGCTTGAGAAAGGGCCATGGGTGGGATTTGGGGAGAGGGGAAGGAAGAGTACCAGGGGAAGCCTGTGCCAGCAAAGATGCAGGCCAGAAGAATGAAATCGAAGGGATTTGGAGGGAGGAGTCTCTGCTGAGAGCCTGGCAGAGCCCCGTAGTTACACTGTCCCCACTGCTTCTCCAGGCACCAGTGATTGCCTTTACCTGAGGGAATAAAGATTTCTCACAATTCAGAACTGGAATCATTTGAAATTCATCCTGGTAATCTGGGCACTTTTATGGCCTGCATCCAAAAGGTAGACCTGCTTTTACCTGCTCACTGAAGTGGTAGCTACCATGTAGAAGGAGCATAACAAGTCAGAATCAACTTAGGTTAAAATTATGTTCTTTTTGTCTCCTCCTTCCTACCCCATAACTTTTTGTGTGTGTGTCTTTTTGAGACAGGTTCTCACAATACAGTTCAGGCTGGCCTTGAGCTCATTTTGTAGCCCAGGCTGGTCTCAAACTCGAAACAATCCTTCTGCCTCAGCCTCCCAAGTGCTGGGATTACAGGCGTGTCACCATGCCCAGACCTACCCGTAACTTTTAAAAACTAGCTTCACTTCAAAGTTTTGCACATAAGGTTACTTTAACAATACTTTAATGACAAGTATGTATAGGTCAAGTTTTATAGAATCTAAATGCCTGGTATTCTCCCATTATCATGTTTTATTATCTGAGCCCGGTCAAAGCTTACCTATTTCACCATTACTGCTCTTGCGCATGTAATTTATTAGACATTATCCTCGGATCTTTTCAATCCCCTCCAGTCCTTGTGCCATCTCGCCATCAGGTTTTTACCGTGCAATTTGGCAGCCAGAATAAAAGTCACTTCCCTCACCAGCCTTCTGGGTATCCCAAGGCACCCTTCTCCAAGAGCTCTTCCTATTAAATCCACCGTGTTATTCTTCCTGTACAGCTCTGACTACATGACATAGCTAATGCTTACTAAAGGTTTATTTTTGTTTTAGAATCTCCCCCAGCTCTGCTTCTAAGTGCGCTGGGAAACAGGCTGGAGGTTCCTCTAGGCAGTACCAACAGTCTGAAGGTCTGAGTCACCTCCTTAGTAATGGGCCCTCTCTCTTCCTCATTCCTGCTAGATATTAAAATCCAGCAAGCTGTTCCCTAATTGTTTCCTCTGCTATTTCCTTGGATCCTCACACATATTTCTATAAGGAACCTCCAGGAAGCTGCAGGTTAACTTGTTCAAGTCTCACAGCACCCATGAGGCAAGACAGGAAGTCAAGCACAGGTGTGTAAGACTCAAGCCAATGACTGTGTCCTCCAGGTCGCAGTGACTTCACTAATGGCAATGGAAAAGCAAGTGATACTCAAAATAAAATAGGGAGGGAGGGAGGAAGGGAGGAAAAGGTAGACCTCCTGGAAGGTCCTGGTGGAGAAAGTGGCACAGCATCAATAACCTAGATCCCCCAAAGGGTGTGTTTCTGTTACTTCTGTGCCCACCACTAAACTCCCATCCCTTCTGGGAATGACAATCTGGAGAACTCTCAACTTTTGGCTCATTTTTAAATTTTCAGGCTCAGTCCCATGTAAGGACTGAGGATAGACTGTGAGGTCTTCTAATCTCTGCCCTTCTCCCTTTATTCTTCTCAGTGGCCTTTCTTCGGGGGGCTTCCTTTTCTCCTTACCCTTTTTACATATTGCTGGGAGGTGATGATAAAAAAAAGCACAGTCACTCTCAGCTACCCATTTCCAGGCATTTGAGGCTGTATTTTATAATGATAAAATTTTAGGTTAAGATAATTTTATAATGATGAAATTATGCCTAGAAATCAGGCAATACTCCCAGCAAAATATCTCTTAAACATCTGGTGTAGGCAATGCACTTGTGTATTACTAATTTATCATATGTAAGATGTCACAGAAAGGCCTTCCCTAAGAAGAACACTCAAAAAAAGAACCTTAACCATTCAAGCGTAGTGGTACACACCTGTAATGCCAGAACTCTGGGGGGCTGAGGCAGAAAGATTGTGAATGGCCTGGCCAACTCAGGGACTTGTGTGACCCCCGTCTCAAAATTTATAATTTAAAGTGGGTGATGATGTAGCTCAATATGAAGTCCTGAGTTCAATTCCCACTGTATATGTGTGGGGCGGGGGGCGGTCCCTTTCAAATTTTGAGTGAAGCTTGTAATTTTCACAATACTCCACCAGAGGGCACTATGTTCCCATCACCACGGCCAAATGTCCAGTTCACCAACCCACTAAACAAGTTTTCCAAGAATGAGTTTAAAAGGAGGAGAGGAGAATGGAGGTCAGGAAAAATACAGAAGCAGAATAAAACCTGTCCAAGCATCCAGAAAACATGCCCTAGAGCTGTTTGTTTCCCATTACAATTTGGCAGACGAATATGGAATAAATAGGAATCCAAATCAACTACTGGGGTTGGAAGTCCAGAGGGAAAGACTGGATCCAGCTGAGAATTTCCTTGGGAAAAGTACTAACTAAAGGGCACATTCTGATCTAGATAATTTTTGGATCAATGCTAAATTTGTTATTTAAAAAAATATTTTTTGTGAGACAGGATCTCACTATGCAGTTCAGGCTGGCCTTGAACTCCTGGTGATCCTCCTACCTCAGTTCCTTTCTCCCCTCACTGAAGGCTGGAAGTCCAGGTATGCACCACCACACAAGGCTAAACTTTTAAATAAGCTTTGAGAATATCCCAGTCAAGAAAACCAAGATAGATCTGTGTATCCTTTAAGAATAAAGAACATAATCCCAGCTTCTCAAAACAAAGAAAGCAGGCGGAGGCGATCTATGTACAAAACAACCTCCAAAGATTCCTTCACTCTGGTGATTTGGGGAGGAGGGTGTGGCAGCTGGGGATTAAACTTGGGGTCTTAAGTGTGCTAAGGCCACGCTTGACCACTGAGCTGCATCCCCATCCCTGCCAAGTTATCTCAGAGAATCTGTTGTACAGCTTTTTTTTGTACCAGGAATCGAACTCAGGATCTTGTGCTTGCCAGGCAGGGGCCTGTGCCACTGAGCTATATCCCCGGCCCTATACAGCATTTGTTTACAGCATTTATTTTGTGGCAATCTAATTTATTCACACAGAAGGCATACATTGAAAGCCCCCTACGCACCAGTCACTGGGTGATCCATAACATAGTGTTCTGAAGTCAACTGGTTGATCCCTGCACTCTATGCTTTCCTAAGTGGTACGGAAAAAATTTTCCAATTTCAGAAGTTATGGCCCAAGAACTCCATTCACAGGCCGAAGAGACTGAAGGACAGGAACCAGGTAAAGGCTGTCAAAGGAATGAACCCTTGCAAGCACATTAAGTTGTGAAATGCCTCCCACTAGGACTTCATAAAAGTTATCTAGGCTTCAGTTATTCATCTTTAAGATAAAATAATACGAAGATCTAATTCTAATGATACAGCTCTAATTTTCCCAGTGGAATTTATTTTTCCCTGTGAGATGATAAACGATTCTTCCAAACTTTCCAAGCATTTTCCCAGTAGAGATAAGACATGGGCTAGAGCTCAAACAGACCCAAATCTTCCATCAGCAAGTAGAGTTTGGGAAATAGAGTGTTTAAAAGATGTTTGAAAGATTTCAATGAGTGTTCAACACAACTCAAATCAGAAGCCAGATGTGGTGGTACATGCTTATAGTCCAGGCTACTCAGGAGTCTGAGGCAAGAGGAGCTCAAGTTCAAGCCTAGTATGGGCAACTTAGCAATTTAGTGGTACCCTGTCTCAAAATAAAAAGGGTTAGGGATGTAGTTTAGTAAAAGCCCCTGTGTGCACCTTTGTTTTGTACTGCAAAGCAAAACAGAAAAACCAAAAAAATCCCCCAAAACCCACAAACTAGTCGAGAGACAGCTGATAGTTGAAGTTCAAATTTCCTCTCCTGAACTGAAGAGTATCAAACTATCAAGATATCTAAGTACTGTAACTCCTCCGTGCTCGGTGCTGAACTGAAATATAACTTAGTCTTTCCCTGTGTGCAATGAAATTTGAAAACTTGGCCACCTATAGCTCTTCCTCAAATACAGTTTAAGAATAATGCTATAAGCTTCCCGAGTTGTTCCTCTTCTTATGCATTTGTATGGGTTGGGTTTAAGATTCCATTATGGTCTATTCTTTTGGAAAGGAAAGACACTGCTTTATAAAAAAAAAACCAGTTTATAGTATGTGTTGGGTTTCCAGGGTCTTCCCTCACCCTGAATCTCAGTTGTATCTCTTTAGCCTAAGTTAAAGTTATCACTTTGAAATGAAATCATGCATCTATAGGGAAAACTCCACCTCCCAAACAGCAGGTTATGGCGTAAGAACTGGGTTCATTTGAGTCCTACCCTGATTTTGTGTCTGAGTGCACCACAGCCACGCGGACCCTGGCGAAGCATTCTCAGCATGTAGACTAAGGGCTTCACACCTGCATGGAACAGGGCGTTCCAGAGAGAAGTTGTGAGAACTCACAGCAAAGCCAGCCCAAGCCAAGGCCTTCATGTCAGGCAGCAGGACGGAATTGAAGAAATGCATTTAGCCGGGCGGGGTGGCCCATGACTGTGATCCCAGCTGCCTGGTAGGCTGAGGAAAGAAGACTGAGATCAATGCCAGCCTGGACAACATGGCGAGCCGCTGTTTCAGGAAGAGGAAAGGCAAGAGGAGGGCAGGAGGAAGAGCAGGAAGAAGGAAGAAGGAAGCAAAGAAAGAGGGAAGGAAGGAGAGATGAGTGTTTAGCTCAAGCAGTTTCCTCAGGCTCGGAACACAGTCTTTCTAATGTTGCTCTCCCACTCCACCCACCCCTGGGACATAGCAACTCCACTCAGAGAGACGGAATACGACTTCAAAGGATGTGGGACAGAACCCCTTGTTGGCTTTGCTGCCAAAAGACTGAAACGCTCATGGGTTTCAGCGTCCGAATGCTCTTTTCATGGCGCGAGTAGAAAGTGGGGTGCTGGCAATTTGGAAAAGAAGGGGAAGAACAACAAAGGGCAGCAGATAGCACGAAGTCTAATGGATGAAGCAAGCCCTTCGGATGTCTTAAAAAGTACAGTCTGGCTTTCTGGGTGTAAACCAGTTAAGCACTTGCTTCTGCTTTTTCTTCCCGGCACACTCTTACCCTTCCCTGGTCAGTCCTTGGATGCAGCTAGTTCCTCACTGGTTGGTTGAAGTAAATGCAAGGAGGGTCAAGGAGGCAAAGCCTCCTGTTCACCGCTGAGTCAGCGGTCATGTTTTACCCTACTAACCCTCACCAAGGCCGCCCTTGGTCACATGAAAGGATCAAAGCAAATCCATTTCCATTCTCGGAAAAGCAGCTCGAAGCACGCGTTCTCTTGATGGTGCCGCTGTCATTTCTGTGTGGTCAACAAACATTTATTGAACATTCACCTTGGATACTACGGACGGATATGGATATGCTCAGAGAGGTTTACCATACCTAGCAAAGAAAGTTGGCACTCACCTGGCAGAAATGCTGTAAGCTTAAAAACCACGCCCATCTCAGATGCTGGTGGTGATGACCGAAGATGGCTTTGGTTTTCATGGGGTAATCTGGCATCTGGAGATCCACATTTTCCTCTCCTCTGTTCCTCTCCCAACCATCAGACCTGAAGACTTCACAGAAGTCTTTTTGCATATTTGAGGTACAAAACACAACCAGAAGAACCAACTTCTTCCTTTCCACCTGCAAAAGACTGCTCGTTCTGTTACCAGTTCTAAGTCAACTTTCACTCAATCCATGTGGAGCATTACAGTGAGTCAAACAAATATTTGTAATGAGTTACTATGGGAAAAGAAACGTTCCAATCTCTTCAAATTATTCTGGCCTATCAAAATGATCATTATTAGCTAGGCGTGGTGGTGTTTGCTGTAACCCCAGCACCCTGGGAGGCTGAAGCAGAAGGGTCACAAAGGAACCAACCTGGGCAACTTTGTGATTTAGCAAGATTTTGTCTCAAAATAAAAAAATAAAAAGGACCGGGACACAGCTCCGTGCAGTGACCCTCCAGGACTGTGTGTGTGTTCAAGGTAGGTGAATTACTATTTTCTATATATTTACTGTGCTCCAGATGCCACTCTAACCTCTTTGGCATAGGCTGTCACACTAAATCCCTGTAAAATTTAAGGTAGCTGTTAACTTTCTCTGTGTTTCTTTTTATTTTCCCTATTTTATAGGCAAGGAAAGTGAGGCTTTATGTCGGTATGTAATTTGGCCAACTCAAAGCGGACAGAAGTAATGGCCAGATGTGACTCTAGGTTGTCTGATCAGAAACCTCCTGTCTTCAGCCATGTTACAATGCTTCAAGTGTGCAGTACTGAAATCTAGCAAGGAATCTGCAAGGTGCCTTATCCATTCCAAAATACACCCCAACTACCTACTTGAGTCCTTTGAAAGTGCTACACTGTGAAACACATGTTGACCAAAGAAGCCAAGTTATGTGTGCTAGGTCACAGGCAACATTTCTTTTCCATATTTGTGGTACAAAACATAACCAGAAGAACAAACTTCTTCCTTTCCACTACCAAAGGCACTGGAAGTGAATTCTTGGGTCTTTAAACAGCAAAATCTCAGAATCTCAAATACTGGGACTCCTGAAAAAATATAATAATGGCCAGGCACCATCAGGTAGCGCTGAGGCACTAAAAATTCAACGCTTACAAAAACAGTATGGATAGCAACATACGTGTTGTGATTTTTGTGCATGCGGACACAGGTTTGTCTCAAGACGGCGTTCACATACACATTTCCCCAACCATTACAGAAAGGATGACAGAAAAAGAGAAACTTATTTTCAAGATTAAAAAAGAGCCACAATACACAGCTGCAATACTTGGAAAGTAAAGCCAGGAAGCACGCCCTGAAGGAATTAGCTGCCCTTAGGGCTGAGTTTGCACAAAGAAATTTCAATTCTGGTGTTTGGCTCTGAAGGTCGTTCTTGAAGGGCTTTATTTTGCAGATAAGGAAACTTGGGGGCAGAGAGGCTGAAAGACTTGTAGGCCTGACCTAGGAGGGGAGGCATTATCACACAGTCTGATTTTCGGCAGCCCTCCAGAATAATTTCTACGGAATTCCAGAAACACACAAAAACGCTTCGCCTAAAAATGTGAATTCCCAGAATTCTGCTCACTTCCCCGAGCCCCCTGAGGGAGCCAGGGAGGGGGCGCTTCCAGGCCTCAGACCAGGTCTCCGCAGGCCCGGAGGGCGCCAGCCCCGGCCCCGCCTGCCCAGAGCTGCCCCGGCTCCCGCGCCTCTCCTGGCTCTTCTACACAAAAGACAAATTCGGTTTCTCTGGCTCTGGACTGACCGGGGGCGGGGGGGAGGTCTCCTCGCAAACCTCTGCACCCGGCGGCTCCTGGGGGGCCTCAGGGCCG